TCTAAATTCTCTGTCAAAAAAAAAAAACAATTTTTTGTGTATATCTTTATATAATTTGTATAAATCTGAAATTTTAGAGTGCAATAAATATTTTTTTATAAGATTTTAAGATCACCTAGTGATGTCTGTATGTCAGTCTGTTTGTTGAAAGCCGGATAGGTTCCGAACGTTGGGAGCTAGAGTGATGAAATTCTCCAAAAATGCTTATTGATGACAAATATTGTTTTGTGTTAATAATGGGCAAAATCGGTTCATGATTTCACTTAGCCCCCATACAAGTACCTCCCGGATTATAGTTAAAACATTAATAAATATGTTGTTTATGTACCAATCGCTATAAAATTTTGCAGAAGTATGACAGATGTCAGGCAGGCATGGGGGGTAATAATTACACAAATTAATTCATTACATGGTCAATTACAATTACTTGTAATGTGTAATTGAGCAATAGCCAATTACAATTACTTGTAATTATAATAGAAATTTTTCCAATTACAATTACTTGTAATGTGTAATTGACCAATAACCAATTACAATTACTTGTAAATGTAATTTAAGTTTTGCCAATTACAATTAATTGTAATTGTAATTGAAATTTTCCAATTAAAATTAATTGTAATTGTAATTGAGGTATTACTAATTACAAATTACATGTAATTATAAGGAACAAAATTCACAATTACAAGTAATTGTAATTGGAAATTATTCAATTACAATTACAAGTAATTGTAATTTGCAAAACTTCAATTACCATTACACGTAATTGTAATTATCAAAACTTCAATTACAATTACAAATAATTGTAATTGGTAAAACTTTAATTACAATTAAAAGTAATTGTAATTAGTAAAGCTTAAATTACAATTACTTCAAATGTAATTGTAATTGAAAATGTAGTCATTACCCACCAAGCCTGATGTCAGGGAATATTTGACCCTAGCCTCCATATATGGACCCTTTAAGACAATGATTTTATGGTCATAGATGTCTTAAAAATATCAGTATAGCAACGAAATTTGTTGTATGACGATGTTTTAGGATGGGTTCCTATGCCCCTCATACAGAAAATAAGTTTACAGTTAATAAATCTTTCAAAAATTAAGAAAGTATGATGAAATTCTACAAAAAAACATTTGTTTTCAAAACTAATCACGCGTTTAAATTCTATAGACTTCGGTCCACAATTGACCAAATCCCTCATTAAAGGCCGTATTCTGAAAATCACCCTGAAGTCCACATTAATATCCATACATGGTAGTACAATTCGCCATATATCGAATAAATAAGTAAATTCTGGTACTATTGATTCATTAAGAGTCCATATACAGGTCCGCCTTCCGAAATCCACAAATTTACAACCAAATATAAGAGTTAGTTAAATGGTAATAATATAAATGCAATGTAATTAGTAATTACTACTAAATAAATTCATTAAAAGTTATAGAAAATTATAAATTTTAGCACATAAATTGCAATGGCATAGTGATAATTACATGAATTTATTACAATTATACTCAGATATGTAGCATTTCATTCACAAACAAATTAAATACGTTAATTTGTTCAAAATTTTTCTATAAATTTAATATATTTTAAAAGAAAATTTAGACGTAACCGACATCTTGCTGTTACAAAATTCATAAACAGAAAATAAATGTGTACTTACGTCTTTTTTCTTGTAAATTTGAAACCATTGGATCTATAGCTTCGAAATTTTCAGAGATGATGCTAATAGACCTAAATTATCGATTTCTATATAAAAACGAAAATCGAAAATCAAGTCGCTTACGTCCATTTTGCAAAAAGGGCTCGATATGTATATATCATTATTAAACAACATTCCAATTGAAAACCATTCCCATATAAGAATTAGCTTTAATTAATAGCAGCATTTTTTAAACAATTGGATTTATTAAATCTAAATTTTAGTTCTGGTACTTTTCGCCTGGTGGATAAGGCAAAAGGTTTAAATCGAGGCTAAACAAATTTCAAATCATAATGTCAGCAGCGACCAACAGATGGAGTTATTTCAAAACTTAATATTAAAATCATAAATTTTCCATAAAATGTGTAACAATTTTTTGCAAAAATTGGTATTTGCACTAAAATATCATATGTGCAATATTTTAGTTACAGGAATTTTGTTTATTTTCCTATTTTTACACATTTTAAAAAATATTTGCCATCTATTGGTGAATAGCAAAATAAAACAAATTAGTTTATTTTAAAATTATTTTGGTTTTGTTCTATGAATACAAAGCATTGCCATATTGAAATTAGCTAAATCTAACTTTTTTTTTGGATTTAATAAATCCAAATTAGATTTACTTCTTTTAGCTGCAGAACCGCCATGTTTGCACTAAAATTAATTTTTCTTTGACCTTATATTAGCTTACAGAGTGTATTTTCAGATAATGATGTCCAAAACTAAATTCCAGCTTCCAAAAATAGTTTTTTTCTTGAAATAAAATAAATCCAAAATAAATCCAGTGATTAAAAAAGCCCCTAATATAAATCTCTTAAAAATGCTTATAGCAACATAAACTTCAACACAAATTTTGTCCGATTACTATTAAAATTTTTTCTTTTAAATTTAGTTCTGAGTGCGTGTGCCAAATGATATCAAAGTTCTATGGTGGATTGTAATTTTCCTATGGTGGGAACATTTTTACATTTTTCTGTGCTAAACGATATCTTTTTAGATTACATTAAATTTTTACAATTGTCACAAATTTCCCAAGAAAATCTGCATTTATTTTAATAAATAAAACACTTTTATTGATTTTTTTTATTATTATAATAAATTTCTTCAATCACAAATGTATTATAAACTAAAATTATAAAATATTTTATTTTTTGTATTTTCAAATTTTTCTTTTCATTTGTCAAAAATTTATATAGCCCTATGAGCTAGTAAAATTTTATTCACCTCATATCTATCAAAAATATACATTTTCAAGTAAATTGTTACCGATTGGCACACACTCTGAATATCAAAAGTTATTATAATAAATCCTATTTTAAAAATATATGAAGGGATATCGAAAATTTTCCTTTAGAAATTTTATCGATAATTATTTGCTAGAATGTAAATATTAGCATTTAAAATGTTAGTTTTTTTACTATAAACGAAAAATTTATATGAATGTACATATCAAAGAATAATAAGAACAAAGAATAAACAAGAAGTGAAACGCTGTCATTTTTTTACAACAATAACATTACGCTCTTCTCACAGACGAGTGCTGTGTAAATCCAACACATATGTAAAAATTTTATTCTCTCTCCAAACTTCAAAACTTTTTCGCGAAAATTTGAGGATAATAGCACTTGAAATATTTTTTATCACTTAACATTATATTTTAAAATTTTTTTGCACAATTTAAACACATTTAATAGCCCGAAAATAATATATTTTTTACAAACGAAAAAAAAAAAATATTTTTTGTTTTTTGACATTGAATTTTTGTTGTTTGAAATTGAAACTAAAAAAAACAATGTTGTAAATTTTCGTATGGTAAACGAAAAAGATATTTCAAATAAATAATTTATTTTTTCAATATTATAGATTAAAAAACAAATAGACGTGTTTATAAAATGTTTATAGATAAAATATGTGCAAAATATCTTAAGAAACCTTTCAAAGTATAAATTGAAATGTAATAATTTTTTTTCAATATTTTTCAATACTATTTTTTGCAACTATGTTGACTTGAGAATTCTACTAATACATTCTTAGAGTTAGGTACCGGATGACAGTAGACTTAGGTACTTTTGACAACAGTTTCATTTCTTATTTATTCTTTGAATAAGAAGTTGGACTATGACATTGTTTTACAACAATAACATTCAATAACAATAACATTCACAGACGAGTTCTGTGTAAATTCAACACACTTGTGAGAACTTAATTCTCTCACAATACTTCAAAACTTTTTCGCGAAAATACCGGGATAATAGGACTTGAACGACGTTTTTTCACAAACACATAACTATTTTTTTATTTTTCACACAATTTTATCGCATTTAACAATCCGAAATATTTTTATTTTTCACAAACTAAAAAAATATTTTTTTAATTTTTTTGACAATTAATTTTTGTGTGTTGAAATTAAAATTGAAAAAACAAAGTTGTATATTTTGGTATTGAAAATGAAAAAATTATTTAAAATAAACTTATATTTTTGCAAAAAAAAAAGAGATTTTAAGTTCGAAAAATATATTTATTAAATGTTTACTGATTAGATGTGGGCAAAATAAATTAAAAAATCTGCGAATGTAGAAATTTAAATGTTATTTATTTTTCCTAAAATTTTTATGTACGATTTTATGCAAGTATGTATGTTTGGAAAGTGTGGTGAAAGTGGTTGGAGCTCCAATACTAATACAACAATTCTACCAATACATACTTAGAGTTAGGAACCGAATGACAACTCCTTTACGTACCAACTGACAAGCCCCAATTTCTTTATATTCTTTGGTACATATGTATATAATACATTTTACAATATCATATCAAGACATTTCTGATTTCATTAATAGATGATTTCAAACAGCACTAAGTGCCCATACATGACGCAAACGGAAAGGAATATGTAATTTTGTTCGGAACGAATTAAGTTAACCTAAGATTTAGAAAAATTTCAATACATGTTTTTAGGGGTAGAAAATGTCTAACAAAAATGTAAGAAAAAATTTTATATTTGGCCAGATAGGTGTAAGACGACACCCATAGCAAGGACTGATTATGAACATATTCAAAATTCATGACATTATGTTTGGTAATTTGTTTTCACGAATAAGTGATAAGTAGCAATTTCATTAAAATTTAAATAAGGAACATAAAGCTATTTTTTGTATTTTGTGATTTGTTTAAAAGTTATTTAAGAAATGTAAAAATATCATAAAACATTCAAAATCGAATCTCTCAAACCGATCTTTTCTGAGTTTTTAATGAGTGATATATACTACAAATCAAATTTTAATGGAAATATACTTACATTATGAGTCGAGAAAACAAAGCGCTTATCATCGTGAAGCTTCAATTCTTTGTGGTTGGATTAAATTAAGATGGTTATTTATTTTCGATTCATTTGAAAGGTTTTTATAATGACGCATCAAACAATTAATACTTTGTGGTTGTTTTTATCTGTAAATAAAATATAAAGTTTTATTCAAATAATAAAAGTATATAAAGACAATTGAATATATGTATGTATTTATTTGACTCAATTTCTTATAAATAGCTTTTTCCATATATTTTTGGTTTTTAGAAAATGAATTCGTTCGTAATAAACGAAAGAAATGTCAGAAATAGACGCCTATCGTCTATTTTCGTTTGCGCAAAAAACAACGAAAATTATACCAAAATACGAAATAATATGTGGCCACTTGAACCTGAATACAGTTTGCAATACAAACCTTTAAATTTCTTGAGACATTGCATACAAGTTTCATGTTGTTTTTAAAAAACATTTTTTCATAATTTAAATTTTTTTATAAAATTATTTTATTTTTGTTTATTTTTTAGGGTTAACACCAAACACCTTATTACTACATGAAAAAATATTTAAAATTTCAGAAATGAAATACGTAGGCAATAATCATGATGTAATAAGTAAGGTGAGAGCGTTTGGGCAACAACCACAAAAAAACACAATATTTTTTTGTTGTTTTGAGTATGGGTTTTGTCAAAATGAAATTTCTAAAATTGAAAAATAATAAATATTGGAAAGAAAATGTTTTGCGTATTTCACAATATTACCTATAAAACCGTCGTTACATTTAAATTGTATTCGCAGCAGGACAACGTCTTATTGCTGGTTCATCTGAATTTCTTCATTTGGAACCCTTTTATCAGCATTTTCATTCATAATTTTTGGTTTGAAATTTTTTCGTTAGAAAACACAAATTTAATTTTTAAGTTAGAATAAAAATAAATAAATTATTTTTGACATAACCCAAGCACTTTTTAAATAAACAAATAAAAATCAGCTGCCTTACTTAGTGCATCCTGGCAATAATGTTCTGTTACGATAGAAAAAGCCAGTGTACACTAAACAGGTATGTATATGCAATCGAACAGCTGATAATTTTTTTGTTTTCTTATTTGTTTTTATTTGAAATTATTGCAACAACATAAAATTTGAATAATAAAAAAATTAAAAATGTTTAATTTGTAAAACAATATTATATATATACAATAAAAAAAATATTATTTATATTGTTTACACAAAAAAAACATTTCAACCAACTTCCGCATTCTTAGCTAAAGTTTATCTGTCTTTAGCTAAACTTTATCCGTTTAGTATAAAACTTTAATAGCACAAATCAGGTCATTCCAGATATCAACTATCCCCCGTATTACGCACATTGACAAGGCCGGTGTCTTCAGCCAAACTTTGGTAGCCACAACACAACTTTATTGGCACAAATCAGGCCAATTCAGATATCAACAATCTTTAGTATTGCGTTGCCTTGTCCACTTTCTTTAGCCCAACTTTGGTAGCTAAAGGTACAAATTTAGTGACACAAATCAGGCTATTCCAGATATCAAAATTCTTGCTTTTTTGGGTCCATTGCCAGATCCTCTGCCAAGTCCTCTGTAACATTTTCCAATAGGATCCATATACACTGCTTAATATGAGTATATAAACATGCATATCCCTTAAAATTCCATTTAAAATCACTGCATTTTTTTTTTGAAATAAAATTAACAATTTTTTTAAAAACAAACAAAATATTTTTATTTATTTTGACATTGAGCTTGTATGAGCTCAAAAATACATGTTGTTTTTGTATTGTTGTAGTGATGCATATACCTGTTTAGTGTACCCTGGAAAAAACTAATTTAATTTTAGACATTTTTAAACGAAAACTTTCAAATGTTTTATAAAAACCTAATTTTAAACTTGATCGTAATAATTTGAAATGTTCGTGTGAGAACTAAATTGTTTTAGAAAAACAGGCTGTATATTTAAAAAGCAAGAACTCAAATGTTGGTCGAATCGAGTAAATTTTGGTTAATTAATTAATTAAATTTCTTATTTGATTAAAAAAAATTATAAAACAGAAAAGTTGTAATTAATTTATTGAAATGAAATTGAGCTGATAAAATAGTTTTTCTAAAAACACAAAATTCAATTATAAAATTATTTAAAAAATATTAAGGGTTTTCATTTTCAATCTCTGTTCCAATTCTGCTCAATTACAATATTTGTAAAAAACATTTTAAAACAATGTCAAAGGAAATTAAAAAATAAAAATTTAAACATAAAATTATAAAAATTGTGTTTAAAATGTGATTATTCAAGTCTAAAAATTTTTAATGTGAACATTACAAAACGGTTTTATAAAATGCTCAATGAGACTGTTCAAGTTTGCCAGTCTAAATAGTCGCTCAAACTTAAAGTGTTGTGCAAATCAATTTCCATACAATTCAATTATATGAAAATTGCACAGCTTGCACAGTTTACGAGAAATATGAACGTTTAAATGAAAACCCTTGTTATTTTACAAATCTGCATACACACTATGATATAAGTCGTTAAATTTTTATTTTATACTGAAAAAATAAATCAAAATAAAAACATTTTTTCTTTCTACACTATTAGCCCAGGAAAATAAGGTGGATTGATGTGGAATTTAAGATAGCTAAATGAAAATTGGCACATAGATTCTCCTCGCCATTATTTATAAGGTATTATGTGTGTATCGTGTGTGCTAAGCGAGATATTTGAGGTCAAAGGTTACAAATATCAGTGAATGATATAATTTTGAAAATTCTCATTGAAACATTTTTTACACTTTTTTACTTATTTGTAATTTTTTATTCATTTACTAACTTGCCTAATTTAATAAACGACAGGTTCTATAGTACATAATATAATTATGTAATTCGATATTAAAATAGCGAAAAAAAGTTTAAAAATCCAATTGAATCTTGCTCTATATAACTGCCCAGCAAAAAATAATTGATCTAAAAATGTGATTGCATACTTTTCGCTTTTATAAACCAAACACATCCTTAGAAATGAAAAAATGAGGAAAGAGATGTAGAAAAGTCACTACAAACAACATATTCGAAGTACTTCAAATTTTGATGAAAAAACCAATGAAATTTACATAAGCGTTCCATTGAAAGAATGTGGTTTATTTTTTACATACAAATATCGGATTTTTACAGCTTCTAAAGATAAGATTAGATGTCGTCCAAAGTTGTCAAAAATGAACAACATCCCTCCAATGACACGCTAATGTAAAATTCATAGGTTTTTCTCCCGAATTTGAAGCACTTCGGGTTACTAGTTGTGCTGAAAATACTACATCTTTTTCCACACTTTTTTGCTGGGCGGTATTAATCCAGTTAAAATTTGCCTTTATTTGCATTAAAGTTAGCAATAGTGGTAGAAATCGGATATTTCTATAGTACATATTTCCAAAATTGCAATCAAGTCTGTAGTGACGACCACTTATTACAATGCAAAAGATTAAAAAACTACTGGTCATTACCAAAACATGAAAAATGTTGGCGGGTACATGATCATTGTTAAATCAAATTAATTATTAATTATTAAATCAAAAGATGTCGTACACAAGTATTAAAAGTAATTACTCTACAAAATTCTGTAGACTTGGGTCCATAATAGTAAGTATTAAGTCATTTAATAATTTAATTAAGTCATTTAATTAAGATATTTTCAAAAATAATCGTAATGATTAATTTATTTTCTTCGAACTTATGTTCGAAAATGATTTAAGTCTATTAAAACTAGTTCCTGTAGTCTAAATGGACTGACGAAGGCATTACAATATTATGTTCGAATATCATAAATTAAGTTCAAAAGATTTTAAAATTCAAAATTTTAAAGCCGAATTAAAACTATAAGGGAATTAATTCCAAATAGAATTTATTCTTTCCAAGCACATATCAAAATTTAAATGAAAACATTTAAGAAATCAGTGGTTTAATAACACTTATGTAAATGTGTCGATTTTTGTCTAGATGTCATATTCGGGAATTCCGGATGTATTTGGTATAGATGAAATAATGGACCGATTTTATTGGGTAAATATTGATGCCAATGCATTTTATTATTATTTGTACAATTTTTCTTTAGCAATTTATTTATCTCTTATCAGTTTAAAACTATTTTTTAACGTTAGAAAACTTCAGATTTTCAAGAGCATTTTTCAAATGAAATGAACTATGCAAGGATACTTTGGTTAATTGGAATTAGTACATGAACACATTCAAACTTTTCTTCTATATATGCCACACAATTATGGAAAATAAACTTAAATCTATTTTTCTATTTTTTTTATAAAAAGGTGCTATGGTTTCTGAATTGATCTGATAATTTTTTTAACACTGCCCTAAAAATATTTGGAAGATATGTTCCATAGAATATAAAAAGCAATTTGATTATTTGGAAGAAAATTACCAAAGCGATAATTGGTTAACATGATCTTGTACATAAAATTCAAGAATATATTAGCGTATTCTGTATAAGAATTTATAATGTATATCTAAATGTTTTAATAACCCAGCAAAAAATAATTGATGTCATACTTTACAAACTACATCTTAATCACATCTTAAAATGCGATCACATATTTTTCACTTTTATAAACCAAATATTTCCTTACAAATGAAACCCCAGTTAAAAGTGAGGAAAGAGATGTGGAAAAGTCATTACAAATAACATATTTGAAGTACATCAAGATTTGGTGAAAGAGTAGTGAAATATACCCAGCAAAAAATAATTGATGTCATACTTTACAAACGACATCTTAATCACATCTAAAAATGCGATTGCATACTTTTCGCTTTTATAAACCAAACATATACTTACAAATTAAAAAACAGTTAAAAATGAGAAAAGAGTTGTAGAAAAGTCACTACAAACAACATATTCGAAGTACTTCAAATTTTGATGAAAAACCAATGAAATTTACATAAGCGTTTCATTGAAAGAATGTGGTTTCTTTTTGACATACAAATATCGGATTTTTACAGCTTCTAAAGACAAGATTAGATGTAGTTCAAAGTTGTCAAAAATGAACAACATCCCTCCAATGACACGCTAATGTAAAATTCATAGGTTTTTCACCTGAATTTGAATCACTTCGGGTTACTAGTTGTGATGAAAATTCTACATCTTTTTCCACACTTTTTTTGCTGGGAAATAGTAAATTTCATCTTCAAATTATTGCTATTTTTTTTTTTTCTTTATAAAGATATATTTTATTTACCTTCCAGAAGATTATCTGAAAATATCTTATTTTTCCACAACACTGATTATATAGCAATTACTTCTAGAAGAATTGCTTTCGTATTGCTTAAAAGTTTCGCCTTGACGCACAATCGCTCTCGAAGGGGTTATCTTATGCAATAGGAATATGATTGTTGCTGTAAAAGTTTGTTGTTTTTGCAAGTTTTATACATATGTATGGATATTAGACCGACTCACAAATAATTTTGCTTGAGTTACCCACCTCAAAATATTCGCTGTTATGTAAAATAATGTTTTTTGGGTTCAGAGTTTTCCGTTCGTGAGCTGGACAGTTTTCAAGAAAATATCCTATGAGGGACACGATTTTTCATGTTCAATTCAATATTTTATCCAGACGATTATTTATGATTAATACATCATTGGACGAGGCTTTAAAACCCTTTTCAAACGATACCCCATATTGGTTAATTGTTTCAAAACAAAACTAAAATTAAAAAAAAAAATCCATACAGAGTCTAAGATACATACATATGTACCCAGCAAAAAAAGTGTGGAAAAAGATGTAGAATTTTCATCACAACTAGTAACCCGAAGTGCTTCAAATTCGGGTGTAAAACCTATGAATTTTACATTAGCGTGTCATTGGAGTGATGTTGTTCATTTTTGGCAGCTTTGAACTACATCTGATCTTATTTTTAGAAGCAATAAAAATCCGATATTTGGGTGTCAAAAATAAAACACATTCTCTTAATGACACGCTTATGTAAATTTCACTACTCTTTCACCAAATCTTGATGTACTTCAAATATGTTATTTGTAATGACTTTTCCACATCTCTTTCCTCACTTTTAACTGGGTTTTTATTTGTAAGGAAATATTTGGTTTTTAAAAGTGAAAAATATGTAATCGCATTTTAAGATGTGATTAAGATGTAGTTTGTAAAGTATGACATCAATTATTTTTTGCTGGGTACTATTATAATAGTACCCAGCAAAAAATAATTGATGTCATACTTTACAAACGACATCTAAATCACATCTAAAATGCGATTGCATACTTTTCGCTTTTATAAACCAAACATACCCAGCAAAAAATGTGTGGAAAAAGATGTAGAATTTTCATCACAACTAGTAACCCGAAGTGCTTCAAATTCGGGTGTAAAACCTATGAATTTTACATTAGCGTGTCATTGGAGGGATGTTGTTCATTTTTGTCAGCTTTGAACTACATCTGATCTTATTTTTAGAAGCAGTAAAAATCCGATATTTGGATGTCAAAAATAAAACACATTCTCTTAATGACACGCTTATGTAAATTTCACTACTCTTTCACCAAATCTTGATGTACTTCAAATATGTTATTTGTAATGACTTTTCCACATCTCTTTCCTCACTTTTAACTGGGGTTTCATTTGTAAGGAAATATTTGGTTTATAAAAGTGAAAAATATGAAATCGCATTTTAAGATGTGATTAAGATGTAGTTTGTAAAGTATGACATCAATTATTTTTTGCTGGGTATTCTTACAAATTAAAACACAGTTAAAAATGAGAAAAGAGATGTAGAAAAGTCACTACAAACAACATATTCTAAGTACTTCAAATTTTGATGAAATTTACATAAGCGTTTCATTGAAAGAATGTGGTTTATTTTTGACATACAAATATCGGATTTTTACAGCTTCTAAAGATAAGATTAGACTAGTTGTGATGAAAATTCTACATCTTTTTCCACACTTTTTTTGCTGGGTAGTTATAAAATATATCCATGGAAATCGTAGCTACTAGTTGATGGTAGCAGTTAAAATCAAATCGATAAAAACTAGGTTTTCGACCCCATTTGATGCTATAGAGCCAAACCATCGCATATCCTCCTACGTGTTTTATTGCAGGAGTAACGTTTTTTGCATTCAGTTCTTCATTTGGTTTCCGCCACACCATTGTTATTCCGACACTTCATATATATTAAATATGCTCTTATCAAAGAACATAACGACCAATTGTTTATTTATAAAAAAACCGTGTCTAAAATGATTCCACTTGATGCACGAACTTATTTGAACATCATAATAAAAATTCGTTCATTATTCACGCAATTTTTGAACTGTTCTGCTATTATTTTTTTTTTTCGTAAGAAGAAAAAACCACATATTAATGAAGCAAAAATTTATGTAATATTCATGTTTTTCATTTTTTTTTATTATATTAGATATAAAGTTCTTAATATGTACAATAGAGTGTCCCGAGGAACGGCCCTTCAAAGAATTTCATGTGTGAATACCTCTCAATCGATGAGTATTAATGTACTGAACATGACAAAAATAAAAAATTATTTTTTTCGAATGGTCCTCAGTTCCCTACCAGCGATTGAAAATCCTTACCTCAGTATAATTTGTGAAAAATAAAATATTTTCGATTTTTTGAAATGGGTTTGATTGAGCTGATTACGGCAAAAATATTTTAAATTTTTTATGGAGTATTTTTGGTCCACAAAATGATTTTTAATGGGTTGGAGAGGTATATTATTTTCGTTTATTTTTTTTTATCGAAATAGGTGTCGTAATTTTCGTAATTTTTAGTTTATTCTGAAAAATATTTAAAAAATAGTTTGGTATGTGTTCTGGTTCATTTCAGAATTTTTTAGATTATTTTAAAATTTATATGCCCCTTATAATACACTAAAAGTCGTTTTGCGGATCAGAAATACACTAACAAAAATTGTAATTATTTTTCCCGCGATAAGCTCAAAATTACGGAATTTTTGAGATCCATTTCGAAAACATTGCAAAAAAATTTGTTGAACATATACTGAGATCAAGAATTTCAGTCGCTGGTAGGAAACTGAGGACCTTTTCAAAACAATTGTTTTTTTTAATTTTCTCGTATTCAGTGCATTAAGGCGCATCGTTCGAGATGTATTCCTCCAAGAAATGGTCTACGGGACACCCTAATGTACAACAATAAGTACAAAATGTTTTTTTAAATACCTTAATTTTTATTTAAAAATTAAGAACAGAAAAAACGAAAATGGAAAACCGTATATTATGACAATTTTTGCGGATCCGTTATTTGTTTATTATTTATGCTTTTAAAATTAATTTTTTTATCTTCCAAAATGAGAAGGTAGAAATAGTAATAGCAGATGTTTTGCTGCTAGCTTTTACACAAACATAAATTTTTAACTACAAAAACTGTGATTTTTCGTTATTACTGCTATTGTGTTATTACAACTATTTAAATGCGAATTTTACTCAGATCGGAAAGTTTATGCAGACTTTGTATTTTTTTGTAAAAGTAAAAAAAAACTATTTTTTTTTTTGGAATAATTAGAAAAAAATGATTTTTTTTAATTTGAAAATAAAACTTTAAATTAAAATATTTAATGGTGAAGTCCATATAAGATTCGACATGCCGATTTTTGGAAATGTTACTTCTTTTATTTAAAGTTTTGTTAGGTCTTTTTACTTTGTAGAATGGCCTTTACTATGATTGTATTGATTGCGAAAAAATCAAGTTTGAAATAAAAAAGTGGAATGAAACATTAAATTATGTGTTAAAAATAAAACAAGATTTGCGTGGGATAAGTTTTCAATTTCTGTTCCTCTTTCATTAAATTTAATTATAATTTATTAATCAAAATAAATTGTATTGTAATTGTACTAAAAAAATTAATATCTCTAGCACTGCATTTACCTATGTAAATATGTATATACCTATATATACATATGTATACATAGGTATGTACATATAGTACATTCTTATATGCAAATATTTAGGTACATATCTACTCTAAGCTACATTTATTAAAACACTTTTTAATGAGATATTATTTAAGATTTTATGTATTACAGATTTTTTGGTAAATATCAATTACACTTTTTCTACATAAATATTTACCTGTTATATTTTTTACATTAGAACAAAGGAACATGAATCGATTAGTTCAATAAAATTCTAAATAAAACACAAAACAGCATCGAAGCACCAATGTTACATTAACAATTTTTCTTTTGTTGTAAAATTTTCTAATTGTTATGTTTTACTAAACACTTATTCGATTCTTAATCATTATTTCAACCAAATTGATTTGTATTAAACGATTAATAAGGAATCACAATGCCAATGTTTAGTTAAAAAATGTATACAATGCAGAGCCCTGCGCCGACAAATATTAACGGCGACGGCGACTGACACTAAATATGTCGGCGGCGGCTTAAAATCGACTGTAAGTCGGCTAAGTTTTCAACTACGTTTAGTTTTTAAATTTTCAACGATTTTAAATATTCAACAAATTCTCGACGGCATTTATGGGATGAAGGTGATAATTTACCTTATCTTGAACATCTGAGGGCAAAGGTTCCGGATAACACACTGGTTGAGTTTTCTAGAATGCAGATATGTCCCTCATCTCCTCTAACTAGATTTGAACTGGATAGCGTTTTGGAAAGCAGAAAGTCAAGATCTGTTGGTGGATGTGGTCGTGTCACTTATGACATGTTAAAAGCCCTATCGATACAATCCCGGGATTCCCTATTGCATGCTTTTAATGTCTACTTTTGCAATTGTGAGATCAGATCTTCATGGAGGAATATAAGAATTGTACCTATCCCTAAAAGGAATAAGGACTTGGGGAAAATTGTGAATTTTCGACCGATTGCCTTAATATCGGTTTTTGTTAAGACAATAAATCTAATAGTGAAAAATCGTTTATAGAGGAAAATGGTTTACTCCCGATAAGATCATTTGCGTATAGGAAAAATTTATCTGCACCCATTTGCATCAATGAGCTCTCTTTAGGATGACTCTTTTGAAATCCCAAAGTTTTAGGGTTGTTGCCTGTATGATAGATATAACGAGTTTGTTTGTGTAAGAGTTTTATTAGAGTATTTAATGGGCTTCCACAGGGTAGTTTCCTGTCTCCTATACTATTTAATCTTTATTCGGCTTCACTCCATGGAATTGAGGATGATAATACTCTCATATTTCAGTTTGCCGACGATTTCATGATACTATCCTTAACCGTGACTTTGAGTTTGCAGTTGAAAACCTGTCAAGGAAAATTTTGGATTTTTGGAATGATTACAGATCACTCAATCTATCTTTTAATATTCAGAAAACAAAGGTAGCTTACTTTGCAAAAGGAGGTCGTCGTCAGGTGCAAATCTCTGTCAATGGATGTGCAATTGAGCAAGTGTCTTCACTGACCTTTTTGGGGAGGAGGATAAAGAATAGTTTATCGGTCAAGGAGCATTATGATTATGCATTAGGAAATTGTAATTCTGCGGTCAATCTGCTTAAATGTCTGACAAGTGTAATGCCCGATGTGTCATTGAAATTTTACAGAAGTTTTATTAGGAGCAAAATTGAATATGCCAGAACCAGCACGGCTCATTCTCCAACTTATATTGATAATAAGATTCGGTCGTTTCAAAATTCGACTCTTAGAAGATGTCTTGATCTTACACCATCAACCCCGGTTAATATAAATTATGCTCTGGCATGTGAACTTCCTCCAGATTTGAGGGCCATATATTTAACGGCTAAAGAGTTGTTTCGAATTTTTATATACAATCCTGCCCTTTTTAGATTGATTGCGACGTATCGTGAACTGAACAACAGTTATTCATTTGTCTTCTCTAAATTTGGTCATATTTTTGACAGGCTAGGGAAATGTGTTAGATCAACTATATCTGAGAATGTTACTTTTAAGGTTGATAATCCATTTGGTGATAAGCACAATGCTCCTAGGGAAAGTACTGGGGCGTACTATGGTCATCTTCTTGGGATGTACAAGGAGAATGGCTTTAAGATTATGGCCACTGATGGCTCTCTTTCTGGATCAGCAGCAGGATGTGCTATTTTTCTGGAACACATTGATCGTTTTTTCTTGTTTAAGTGCGATATGCGATTGTCGTCTCTGACTGCAGAATTGATTGTAATTCGTGAGGCCCTAGTAGTTGCGGCTACAGATGGGTATAAACGGGTTGTTATTTTCACGGACAGTACGAATGCGATTATTTCCATTAGGGATAGTAAATGGGAAAATTTTATTGTATCGGAGATTATCCAGATTATTGCAGATTCAAATATAGGAACTATTCATTTGATTTGGGTTCCAAGTCACATGGGTGTTCCCATTAACGAAAGGGCTGATGAATTGGCGAAGATGGCTCTTGATCATGGGGCTCCTCTTCGGGTGGATTACTCGGTAAAATGGGCTTTGAGATTGATTCGTAATGAACTGCAGGATGAGTGGAATCACTCTTATGCTGAGACATCTCAGAGCAAGGGTAAGTTTTACTTTTCCTTTAACCATACAATTCCCTTAAAGCCATGGTATAGAGGATTTTGTTTGGATCCTGGTAAAATTAAGATCATAAATCGTCTTCTAACTGGTCATGCGTATGACAGGAAATTTTTGAATCTTATAAGGCTAAATGACTCCAGCTTATGTGATACATGTAACGTTGGTGCGTGTGCTGATCATCTCATTTTTCACTGTGCAAAATTTTATGACATTCGTAGGAAACACAAAGTTTTTGACAAGTATACAAGTCTTTTTGACTTGCTCAGGAACTATGAAAGGAAAGATTTTCATGAATTAATTAAATTTATTAAAGAGTGTAACATTGATACGCTACTTTAATCTGGATTGTAATTTTGTTCCTTATTTCATAATTTTGGTTTGGTTATAATTTTAAATTAAATTAAATTTTATTTTTAATTGTAATTTTTGTTTCAAATGTTTAGTTTATAATTGATTTTTATTTCTTGGATCTTTTCAATTCTGGACTTAACAGTTTTATTTTAGGTTTGCCTTATTTTTAATGTTAAGTTAAAATTAAGTACGCTTAAGCTAAATTATATGAGTGAAATTATAAAATTTTTTTTCTTCCAAATTATTTAGAACACAACCCTCCATTTTTGCAGAAGTAATCTGTGGAAGTAGGTGTTTTTCAACACCCAACAATTTCTACAAAATCCCATTGAAACCTGGGACTGTTAACTTAGTGTACTAGTGGGACAACCTGGCAAATTGTGTGTTGTATACACCGCCATTAAATTTTGCAAGTAAAAAAAAAAACGATTTTAAATAAAAACGGAATCCGAGAGATCAGAAAGTGGGATTTTGGAAGCAAATATATTGTTTATAACAACAAAACAGAGCAAGCTCAAAAGTTGTGTGAGAAATTATGCAGGGATGAATAAAAAATTCTTAAAAATTAAAAACAAATCCTTTCTCCAAGTTTTACGAGGATCTGCCGATATTTAACCCTATCCTCCATATAAACATCTTGCAGAAAATCAGTTTCTAAAAAATTTTGCATTAAGAAAATGATCAATAACGTAAAAACAAAGATATTTTATTTGTTTATTTGCTATACCCAGTGTGCTGTGCTACCCTAAAAGTAATATAAATAAGAAACCCACTTAACGATTTTGATGATTCTAACTACAATGGTTTTCCAAATATACAATTTGTTACATATGGGAGATTCCACGCAAATTATTGCAATTTCGCTAATTATTCCGAACGTTAATTAAGATTTTAATTTAATCTATGAAAAATTTGAATAATCTAATAGTTTCCCAGATATACAAAATTTTGTATTTAATTCATATGGGAAGTGCCAAGCCCCCCATTGAAAGTCCGCCCGTTATTCTCTAAATGTTCTTAAGTAAAATTTGAAGATTCTAGCTCTAATAGTTTCTCATATATACGAATTTTTCTATTTAATTCATATAGGAGCTTCAAGCCCCCCAGATGAAAGTCCGCCCTTTTTTCTCCAAAATGTTCAGATGAATATTAAAGTTCTTCGTACAAAATTTGAAGAATTTAGTTCTATTAGTTTCCCAGATAAACGAATTTTTGTATTTAATTCATATGGGAGGTACCGCTCCCCTCATTGGTAGTCTCCCAATTTATTACCCGAAATGTTTACATGGATGTTAAAGTTCTTCCAGAACAACATCATTTAAAGGGATCACAAAGAGATTGACAAATATTCTAAAAGTTTCACTTTGAAAACATTATTAGAGTGTATGAAAACTCGCAACTCTAAAGGCAGACTATTCCTATTTTAGCGGTAATTTCTTTATGATTAAAATAAGTAAGAAGTAAGAGTTATATTCGGCAAATCATATTTCGTACAAAAGCAAATTTCGGAAGTGGTCATATACATATATATATGGACTTTGATCATTAGATTAATAAGAACGTCACCGTGATTTTCGGATTAGGGACTTAAATGTGGAATTGGGTAAATTTGGACAGAGTTCTCTATAATTTAAAGTATTTTTTTTTTTTAATTCTACCATAATTCTATCATAATGATAACTTTTGGAATGATGTATTAGCTATAAACTGATTTTCTGTAAGAGGGTTATATTGGCGGACCGATTCTGATAATTTTATTTTTCATAAATGTAGGTTTCGGTTCCTAAAAATTTTTTTTTCGTCGACATCGAAATTTTAAAGCCATTTATGTGCGTTTAAGTCATTTTCTGCAGAAGATATGTATATGAACATATTTACATTACATATTTTCGTTCCAACAAAAATTGTTTTATTATGGTATTATTAAGTACGTAGAAAACGGTAAAATCAATTATTGAAGGGGGCAGGGTCAATTATGGCCTATAGAGATTTCGATTGATATCGAGCCCTTTTTGCAAAATGAACGTAAGCGAGATAAATTTTCGTTCAATTAGGATACTGCGTGTTTAATTTTATGCTAATATATTCAATATTTTAGAAAATTCAAAAAGTACCAGTTAAAGAACAAAAAATTACCAGAAATACTCCAGTTTAAATTTTCATTCACTCAAGTCCCTGATTGCTTAGTTTTATGTTTTTAGGTTCATTATAATAGAAAATTCAAATAGTACCAGTTGAAGAACGAAAAAGTACCAATAAGTCTTGTTTTATATGTTCTCACTTAATCCATGCCCTACAGGTTTAATTTCATGTCTATAGGTTCAATATTATAGAAAATTCAAAAAATACCTTTTGAAGAACGAAAAAGTACCAGAAAGTCCCCTTTTATATGTTATCACTTAATCCGGGCTGTACATTATTAATTTCATGTTTCTAGGATCAATATTATAAAAAATTCAAAAAGTACCAGTCGAAGAACGAAAAAGTTCTAAAAAGTCCCTTTTTATAGATTATAATTTACTCCGGGCTCTACATATTTA